CCTATACAGGGTCGCTATGGGTCAGAACTGACTCGATGGCACTGCACAACAACAACAACAAGTTCTTCTTTGGAGTCTTGGTGTGGCACTATGGTTTAATGCACTGGGCTGCAGGATAGGTTTGAACTGCAAGGTCAGCGGTTCAAGCTCACCAGCTGCTCCTCAGAAACCCTATACAGGGTCGTTACAAGTCAGAACTGACTCAATGGTACGTAACAACAAAAACAAGTTCGTTTTTTGGTCTTCCTTATTCACTGTCCAGCTTTCAGATGCATATGAGGCACTTGAAAATACACAGCTTGGGTTAGGCGCACATTAGTTCTCAAAATAACGTCTTTGCTTTCTAACATTTTAAAGAGGTCTTTTGCAGCAGATTTGCCCAAAGCAATATGCTGTTTGATTTCTTAACTGCTCTTTCCATGAGTGTTGGTTGTGTGGATCCAAGTAATATGAAATCCTTGGCAACTGTAATCTTTTCTCCATCTATCATGATGTTGCTGACTGGACCAGTTGTGAGGATTTTTGTTTTCTTTAGGTTGAGTTGTAATCCATGCTGTATCCAGGCTGTATGTAGTCTTTGATCTTCATTACTTAAGTGTTTCAAGTCCTCTGGGCATTCAGCAAGCAAGGTTGTGTCATCTGCTTATTTCAGGTTGTTATTGAGCCTTCCTCCGATTCTGATGTTGTGCTCTTCATATAATAATCTTCTTAGATTATTTGCTCAGCATACAGACTGAATAAATATGGTGAAAGGATACAACCCTGCAGCACACCGCTCCCGATTTTAAACCGAGCGGTATCCCTTTGCTTTATGTGTAAGTTCCGTATGAGCACAATAAAGTGTTCTGGAATTCCCATTCTCTCCGATGTTCTTCATAATTTATGATTCATGAATGCCTTTGCATAGTCAGTAAAACACAGGTAAACATACTTCTAGTATTCTCTGCTTTCATCCAACATCCATCTAACGTCAACAGTGAGTGGTACCCTTTGGCCTTCCAAATTTCTTAGCATAGCTGAGTGAGTATTTCCAGCATTGCATCCTTTTTTTTTTTTTTTTTTGAACCAGCTCAATTGGTACCCTGCCAATTCCTAGAGTCTTCATAGGGGTGGGACTGTGCTTAAATAAACAGTTGACTAGGTGAAGTGGGAGTCCCTGAGTGGTACAAATAGTTAACATGTTTGGCTGCTAACCAAAAGGTTGGAGGTTTAGAAGTACATTGGAAAAAAGGCCTGGTGATCTATGTTCAGAAATACCCAGAGCACAAGTCTACTCTGGGGCATACAGGGTCACCGTGAGGCAAGTGGACTCTATGACAATAACAAAGTGACGTGAGAATTGAATGAAACTCAAAGGCTTTATGCTGAGAGAAAGAAGACAATCTCAGATGGTTACATTCTGCATGATTCTCAGAAGACCGAGCGATCGTGACTGAGAAGAGATCCATGGTTGGCAAGACTTAGGGGTCGGGGAAGGGGTGACTACAGAAGGATGGACGAGGGATTTGGGGAGTGATGGACAGGACTTGGTCTGTATCCTGACTGTGGTGATGGGGTCGTAAACCTATATATGTACTCAGATTCTTAGACTCAGACACCAAAAACATGAATTTTACTACAGGTTAATAGAAAGATGAAGTGAGAGTTTTCAGCAAGTTTCCTATAACATCATCCTTGTCTCCTCTGCCATTTCACTCAGCAAGTATGTGCTGCCCACCCTTCTAGAAAGCCAGAAAGGCAGGCTTTCCATTGAGGACTTGGAATATCTGGATGACTTCGATCATAGCTCATCAGTCAGTGGGAGCTATTGATGATTTTTGAGTGTGAATGTGATAGCATCAGATCTGTGCTTTAATGTAGCCATGAGAAGGATGGGGTTAGTGATCCAAAGGCTGTGATAGAGAGCATGGATGAAGGTAGGGGACCTGGGCCAGAGATTGGGGCCTGCTTAGATGTATGGGGAAGGTAAAGGTTGGGATGAGCTTGGGGTTTAGAGTCTGAATGCTGAGAATGACAGAGCCTCAAAGGGGCAGACTGGGGAAGAGCTAAAGCAATGAAGATGGGGTTTGCCACAAATAGCCACCACCTTGGCTTCCTGGTTTCATAGTTACCTTAACTTAGTTCCTCTTTCAAATGCGCTTCACCTAGCTCACGGGCTCTGTTTCTGGTTGTCTCCCTGGGTCTCTTTCTAGTTCTCTCTGTCTCTAGCAGTCTCTCTTTGAATCTAATAGTCTTATTTTACCACTCTTCCTGCCCTGCCTCCTCTATATTCATTCTGTTGGCTTCTCACACCCCACACATTCACAGATAATGCAGTTCATTCATTCATGCATTCGCTCATTTGTTCCTTTATCCATTCAACTCATCATTATCGTGTGGCCAACACTTGTGTGGCTTGGAAGTTGCGGACTGTGTTAGGTTGGCCCTCAGCAAAGTTTCCAAAATTTGACTTCGACCGGAGTAATGCTGGGATACTTATAGGCAACTATCTGCTTGGAACCCACGCCCCGTTCCACCCCAGGACCCATTCCTCAGGGCATTTGCAGCATCTTTGTCCCCCAAGACTGGGCAGTGCCAGGTCAGAGGGCTAGGAAGGTTGGAAGGTGACATCACCCAAACCTGTCTTGGCTCCTAGGATCCAGGTCTTGAGCCCTACCTCCTGCACCTCCTGAAGGCAATGTTGTTGTTGTTAAGTGCCGTCAAGTTGGTTCCAACCCATAGCGACCCTGTATAGGGTTGTATAGGGTTTCCGGGTAGCAGTTAGTGAGCTTGAACCACTGACCTTGCAGTTCAAATAGCTTTGCAGTCTGGCACATTAACCTACAGCGCCACGCTAGGACTCCATGGTTGGTGGTTATGTGTCATGGAGTCAGTTCCAACTCACAGCAACCCTGTACAGGGTTCCCGAGGCTGAAAATCTTTACTGGAGCAGAAAGCCTATCTTTCTCCCACGGAACAGCTAGTAGTTTTGAACCGCCAACCTTGAGGTTCGCAGCCCAATTTGTAAGGAGCTCTGGTAGTGTAGTGGTTATGAATCGGGCTGTGAACCACAAGGTCAGCAGTTCGAAACTACCAACTGTTCCGCAGGATAAAGGTGAGGCATTCTGCTCCCGTAAAGATTTACAGCCTCGGAAACCTTGTACAGGGTCGCTATGAGTCAGAACTAACTCCATGGCACACAGCCACGGCTACCAGAGCTCCTTCCTGAGGGCAGTATCCTGAGGGCAGTATTGAATCCCTCATTTTAACAGGCGTTCCAGAGAGGGCAAATAGTTTGCCTCAAGGGCTCGCTGCTTCTCTCCCCATGGCCTCCAGCCCTCAGCCCTTTCCCTATCAACCAGAGGCCTGGGGAAGACGAACTCCCTACTGGAGGAGAGATGGCAGAATACCAAGTGATGTGATTAGTGGCTGGCAATGTCCCCTCCTGATTTCCATAAAGTGTTTAGATTTCTTTGTCTTGTCACACATTTCACTCTCTGTGGGAACAGGTAAGTAAGTAGTTTCAGCATGGTAAATAAAGCCTCGCAGTCACTGAGGTCCAGGCCCAGCTCCCAGCTCTGCACCCTGCCCCTCCCTTGTCCTTGTCTAGAGGAGGACTTGACCAGAAAGCAGAGGGCTGAATGCATTCCCTCAGCCAGTCCAAACCAAGGAGGCCTCAGCCTCCAGCCCCAGAGTCCCTACCCCAGGAAGGGGCCACAGAGGGAGCGTGGGACAACTCCAGGGCTTGGGGAAGATTGGGGTACACACCCTTTTCCTGCATTTTGGACTTCCCTCCCGTACCTCTTCAAACACTGACATCCCACTTTAGCTCCCTGTCCCAACGTTAGCCAATGGGGAAAGGGAGAGACATGAGGCCAGGTGCAGGGAAAGAGTACAAGTTGGCTGAATCTGATCAGAATCTATTTCTGACCTTGGAGGAGTGTCACATGACGATATGGTCTGGGAGCCGTGTCCAGTGCTTCATGTCAGGGTCACACCATCAGCTCTGTGACCTTGGGTAGGTTCCTTACCTTTTCTGAAGCCTTTGTACCTGGACCTATAATTTGGGAACAATAAGAGCAATAACTTCCCTCTATCCCTATTGTGAAGACCAGATATGCTGTGTGGGTAAGGCACTGGGCACAATGCCTGACACATTCATACGAGGACTCAGTAGTGGTAGCAGCAGTTGGCATGACAACCATTATTTGAAGACCATTGGTCTGGGGGGTTCTGGATCATACAGGTTGGAAGAATCTGGGGAAACCTCTGGAGGGTGCATGGCCTGGCTCCTGTGGGGTCTTGGTGGGGAGTCTGGTGCCCTGGCATTCAGAGTTCAGGCCTCCTACTTCCTCTGTGGCCCCTCTGTCCTTTGTACATGGATAATCGGTCCAGGTGGCCTGTGTATCTTTGGCCTTCCAGGCTTTTCATGTCCACAGGCAGTATTACCAGACCCTGTTGTTGTTAAGTGCCATCGAGTCGATTACAACTCATAGCAGCCCTGTACAGGGTTTCTGAGGAGTAACTATTGAGTTTGAATGCCCAACCTTGAAATTCAAAGAGACCTTGTGGTCCAATGCTTTATCCTAGAGAGCCACGCCAGTCCCCAACAAATCTCCATTGGAAGAAATACAACCAGAATGCTCCTTAGAAGCCAAGATGGCCAGACTTCCTTTCTCATACTTCAGAGATACTATCAAGAGGGACCCGTTCTGGAGAAGAACATCATGTTTGGTACAGTGGAGGGTCAGTGAAAGAGAGACTCCCAATGAGATGGATTGGGGCAATGGGCTCAAGTGTAGCAGCTATTGTGAGGATGGTGCAGGACTGGGTGGTGTTTCATTCTGTTGGACATAGAGTCACTATGGCAACTCAACGGGACCTAACAACAACAACAACCGTCCCTTAGTTGAAGCCCTGGTGGTACTGTGGACTAAACATTGGGCTGTTAACTACAAGATTGGAGGTTCAAATCCATTAGCTGCTCTTGGGAGAAAGATGAGGTTTTCTACTTCCATAAGAATTTAGTCTTGGAGCCTCTAAGGAGCAGCTCTGCTCTGCCTTATATAGGGCTGCTATGAATTGGAATTGACTCAGTATCAGTAGGTTTAGTTTGGGGTTTGATGTCCCCTGGCCAGTCCCCCAAAGTCCACTTCGGATCAGTAAGGACCCACTAAGCAGGTTGCTCTGATCCCCAGGGGGACGGGGCAGCCCACAGATTTGAATCTTTGGGAGTAGAAATGAGGCCAGAATGGCCGCTTCTGATTCCCGGGGCAAGTATAATTAGTTTTGCTGTATCCTGGACACAGGCACTTATGAGCCCCCTGTGGGAAGCATGCAGAACATTGATCACCAAGGCTGAATGTCACTGGGCAGATATGCAGCCATCCCTATTGGCAGGAACCAACTCCATTGTGTGCTTCATGGGGACTTAAGTCTGTGGAATCAGAGTGCTTTGGGGAGCACCTATAGGAAATCAGGATGCTTAGAGTCCTTGGTGGTGGTGGTGGTGATGTACCATGAAGTTTGTTCCGACTCTAGAGACCCTGTACAGGGTTTCCGAGGCTGTAAATCCTTACAGGAGTAGAAAGCCTCATCTTTCTCCCTCGGAGCGGCTGGTAGTTTCGAACTGCTGACCTTAAGGTTCGCAGCCCGATTCGTAACCACTACACTACCAGAGCTCCTTAGTTTTCTCCAAATACATGATCTGGTAGTCACTACTGGACTGGAGTTTTGACTGACCCCTGTGAGTGAAGCTAGGGACAGCTAAGCTATCCTAGCATGCTGTGACTGTTCAGGTTTTAGCATTGAAAGTCCCTTGTCTTAGAAGCCTGTAGTGCAGGGTAAATCAGAACTGCTGGTCACCTAGACACCAGACCCTATCATCTTTGATGCAGGCCTGACCCACTCTCAGATCAGAGAAACTGAGGCCCAGAATAGCTGGTGGCCAGTCAAGTCTGGGAGGCAGAAAAGAAAGAGACAGCAGGATTGAACTTCCAACCATGTGACTAGGACTTTGTGGATCCCTGGAACTGGGACTCTGGACCCAAGAATAGGAGAGAATGAGGAAGTCACAAGGAGACAGATAGGTGGGTATAGCTGGGCTTTGGATATAGGAGATTCCCATAATGCATTGAAGTGGCAAGCTCCAAATTAGGAAAACCAATTCAAAAGTACCTGTCCCTCATTTTCCTCAATGCCAGTACCCAGTGCAAATTTTAATTCACATCCCAGAAGAGCTGGGACTGGCTGTAGGGCCAAACAATGAGATCCCTTTGGAGAAAGGAGGTAGGGAAAGGAGATGTGTGTGTACAGGTGAGACCTCTTCTAGGGATGGATAATACACACATCCGAGGGATGAAATTGACAGCTCTCTAGCATTCTTTCCCCCAAAGTGCCAGCTGCCAATTGGATTGAATTAGATTTCACAGGGGTTTTTGCAATACATGGAATTCACCAGCAAATTACTCTTAAAGAGGGAAAAATCAATCATTTGGAGCAGAGATAAGCTGAAGGCAAGGCAGCCTCAGACTGATCCCGTCTGTGCAAGCGTGTGTGGAATTCAACAGATAACCTGGGGAGGAAAGGGGGAGGAGAAGATGGAAAGAGAGAGGAAAGGGTGGGAGAAGAAGAAGGAGAGAGGTGGAAAGATAAGAGAGGAAAAAATAGAAAAGAGAAGGGAAGAGGAGAAGAAAATAAAAGGAAAAGAGGGAAAAGGAGAGAAAGGAAATGAAAGAGAGGCAGAAAGATGTATCCGAGAAGGCAGAGAGAGAAAGGAGAGAGAAGTGGAGGGGCTGGAAAAGCAATCTGAAAGAGCACAGTGCAAGTTAATGAGGATTTAGAAAGCCACCCAGTCCAAGCTCCTCATTTTCCAGACCAAGAAGCTGAGGCCCAGAGAGGGAAAGGGCCTGCTGCAGTCACTTACAGTAGTGGATGGCAGGTGCAAAAAAAGCAGGTTCCTGACCACAAGCCCACAGAGGACCTGGGAAAAGAGGGTGTCAGTGGATGGGAGCCTAGGACATGCAGGGAGATACCAGCAGTGTCGGTTTACCCAGTAAACAAGGTAATCACAGGTTTATTTGTGCTTACTTATGAATCTGAATATGCATTTCACAGGTTATCACCACATTAAAGATTCTGCCTCTAGGTATGGCTGGCACGAGTCTCTCTTCCAATCCCACAGCACCTTCCTAGAGAATCAAACCTCAAGCCCACTGCCATTGAGATGAGTCTGACTTGTAGAGACAGAATAGGACAGAGTAGAACTACTCCTTAGTGTTTCTCAGACTGTAAATCCTTATGGAAGCAAGGCAGTCTCATCATTCTCCTGATGAACCACTGGTGGGTTTGAACCACCAAAGTTGTAGTTAGCAGCCCAGGGCTTCCCTTACAGCCATCAGGACTCCTTTCAAAGTCTCTTCAAATTTATAAATCCTGACAGGGACAGTAGGTGCCGTCGAATTAGTAGCCTTGGTGTGGCACTGTGGGCTAATGCGTCAGACTGCCTAGTCTTTTGAACTGAAAGGTTCAAGCTCACCAGCTGCTTCTTGGAAACCCTATACAGGGTTGCTATGGATCGGAATCAACTCGATGGCACTTAACAACAACTACAACATAGTGACCTTATACACATCAGAGCAAAACACTGCCCGGTCCTGCGCCAACCTCACAATTGTTGCTATGTTTGAGCCCATTGCTGCTGCCACCGTTCCAATCCATCCCATTGGGGCCTTCCTCTGTTTCACTGACCCTCCACTTCACCAAGCATGATGTCCTTCTTCAGGGACTGGACCCTCCTCATAATGTGTCCAAAGTATGAGAGACAAAGTATGGCCATCCTGGCTTCTAAAGAGCATTCTGGCTGTACGGAGATTTGTTTATTCTTTTGGCAGGCCATGGTACTTTCAATATTCTCCTTTAACACCATAACTCAAATGCATCAATTCTTCTACAGTTTCCTTTATCCGTTGTCTAACTTTCACATGTATATGAGGTTACTGAAAATACCATGTCAGGCACATCTTAATCCTCAAACTTATGTCTTTGCTCTTTAACACTTTAAAGAAATCTTGTGCAGCAGATTTGCATAATGAAATTTGTCGTTTGATTTCTTGACTGCTGCTTCCATGAGTGTTGATGGTTGATCTGAGCAAAATGTAGTCTTTGACAGAGCACCCAGTAAACAATGTAAGCACAGGTTTACTTATGCTTTCTAATTCATATGTAGTAAGCAATTTCACATATGAAATTGTTCACTGCAGATTAGTAAATAAGCACAAATAAGCCCATGCTTACCTTGCTTATTGGTTAATCCTCTCCTGGGTACCAGCATCTGTTTTCCCAGGTTTCTGAAGCTTGTAGATCACTGGAGCCTGAGGCAGTACCCTCTATAAGCCTCCTTCCCTCGCCCCATGAAATCTGATGCCACATTGCCCTTCTCCTCCTCAGCCTTTACCCCTCTCTGTCTGCCCCTCCTGTTCCTGACCCAGGTGTAGAAATCAGCCCCTCCCCAGGAGTACCTCCTCCCCCTCTGTTCTGGTATTCCTTCTAGAACATTCAGTGAAACAGCTGTCTTTCACTGAGTACATATTGTGTGCCAGGCACTTTACCATGATATTGCCACTCAACCACAATAGTACTATATTGTTGTTGTGCTGTTGAGTTGGTTCTGACTCATAACAACCCTGTATAGGGTTTCCAGGGAGCGGCTGGTGAGTTTGAACTGTTGACCTTGCTGTTCAAACCAACTTTGAGGTTGAGTGTTTCTGCTATGGTGCCATACCAGGACTCCTATGCTTGGTGCTGTCCAGCTGATTCGGACTCATGCCCGGTCCTGCGCCAACCTCACAGTCTTTACTCTTTGTTAGTGCTCTGCTGCTGTCACTGTGCCAAGTGCCTTCCACCCTCAGAGGCTAATCTTCCAACACTCATCTGACAAAGTTCCGCTGCTGTTCACAAGGCTGTTTCCAGTGGCTCAACATTCAGCAGTAGTAGTCTGTCTCTCCTTCTTCCTAGTCTGTCTTAGTCTGGAAACTCCGCTGAAACCTGCCCACCATGGGGGACCCTGATGGTATTTAAAATACTGATGACATAGCTTCCAGCCTCACAGCCACACACAGGCCACTAGAGTAAGACACACTGACAAGACGAGTAGTCACAGCAAGGCTTTGCTCTTCTCGTTTTACAGATGGAGAAATTGAGGCTCAGGTAGATTCAATTATTTGTATAAAATCCCACTCTCGAGGCCACGAGGGGCGATAGGTGGGGCGGGGGGTGGGGGCGGACAAGTTTGGGGGAGCTAGGGTGGTGAGGCAGCCCCTTCTGGCAGCTGACTGATAACGTGGGCCCTGGGGCCTGCTCAATACCCACTGCAGGGGGTGGGAAGGCTTCAGTAACCAAGAGCAAAGCAAGGCTGCACGGGGTGGAGGCAAGCAGGGAGCGAGAAGTTATTTTATGTGTCCTTCCCCCTCCCAATAAATAAATAAAGCTGCAGCGTTGCAGCGGCCTCCCCACGGGCAGCTGGCCGGCTCCCGAGCCGGGTGGGGAGAGAGTGGGCGATTGGGCTCCAGGACCCAAGACTGCCTGCTATCAGCCTTCTCATCGTCTCTCCCAGCTGGAAGAGAATTTAATCCACCAGGCTCCTCTCCACACATGCTGGAGCTCCTTTTGATGTTCCTCTTTATCTCCCTTCCCAACAAAATCGCCCCCTCAACAGCTCTAAGAGGGCCTCCTGCCTCCCCCACTGTCCCCTCCCCACTGCACAAAGGCAGCCCGGGATGGTCCTGGAAGTGGGCAAGGGCACAGGAAAGCCAGGGGGCTCACTCCAACCACAGTTCCAGCCTCCCACCCCCTCAGCCCACTCTGACCTTGAAATAGGGGCTCTGCCTCTGTGGGCTTCCCTTTGCCATTTGTAAGATGGGGGCAGGGAATGACACCCTGGATGCCCTACACGTTCTTTGCACCTGAAACCTTGTTGGTAAGGGGAGGGGACACGAGAGAGAGGAGGAGAGGAGGTGGTTAAGCACTTAGACTTCAGAATCAACACAGACGCAGTTTGAAGGCTTTGTTGGTTGCTGTCTGGCTTGGACAAGTTATCCTCTCTAGACTCAGGTTCGAACTCTAAAAGGACTGTACAGATGCTGATGTCCTTGGGCTGTTGTGAAGGTTCGGGTTATGATGTGCCAGGTACTGATCATAGAAGCTCCCAGCTGAGTGTTGCAGTTAACTGGTATTTTGCAGCAACTTTGAGGACTGGGTGAACATCTCACATGGGCAGCCATCTTAAGGGATTCACAGTCTCAAGCCAAGTCTAAACAGGAAGTGACCTGGGCAGCTTCTGGAAGGAGCAGGAGAAGCATTTGAGGAGATTGGATGAAGGTGGTCCTGGGTCTCAGGAAAGTTCTTGGGGTCCTAACTGCAGCATCAGGCCCCAGTGAACTGCCAGCCCCAGGCCTTGGATCAAGGAGAAGGGAGGAGGTCTCCTGCACAGAGCCCTGGAGACCTCCCTCTGAGGAGCCAGGAATGCTATAGGTTCATCCTCCCAGGTACTTCTGCCCGTACCAGGTCCTGAGCCAACACTGAGCTCAGCACCATCTTCATGCACTTCTCATCCTTATCCTCAGCCTGCAGCCCCCAAACACCACATCATACTGGTTGATTTCCTTCTGTTTCTCAGACAAGCTCCCTCCCTTGACTTTCTCTAACATTAGGATCTCTTGGACACCTTGTAAAAACACAGGTTGCTGGGAACAACCCCCAGAGTTTCAGATTTGGGGAACTGGCTATTTTGTTTCTTCATCCCTAAAACTAGTCCAAAGCTCCCCTTCTCTGACGTTCTCCCCTCGGTGGTCTTGGCTGCTGGTTTTCTCTTAGATGTAGGCCTAGCATGCTTGGTTTAACCCTGATGAACACAATCCCAACACTTTCATTATAAAAGTACTCAATACACTGGGATAGAAGGGGACTTCCTGAGCCTGAGAATAGCCGTCTTATGAAAAGCCAGTAGTTAGCATCAGATTTATAAAAATGGCGTGGGGCCAGCTTCTGACCTCGTTGTCTCACTTTACGAGGAGACAAGAGCAGCAACAGGGCTGATTCCTGTGAGGCTAAGAGCAGGTGTGTCTCTACCCTCCAATTCCTTTACCAGCCTTTCTACCAATTCTGCAGCCAACCTGGAATGTCCTTCCGCTCCATTCACTACTTCTCTGCTGGGTTAATAATTCATTACAATCACCACACGGAACTCAGACATTATGGAATCTGTTAAGGAAGTTACAATTCATGATAAGAAATGCTCAGGACAGCTTCCCCATCTACTGTGCCCATAGCCCTTGACCTCTTTTGGTCCTGTGACCCTTTGGCTCCTGCCCTGCTCAGACAAGCATTACAAAACTCGTTTAGCTCTGCCGCTAGATGCCCAGGGGCACCTCACTCTACCGGTAGGCCTCTAGCTCTGTGGGCACTGGAGCCCACTGGACGTCTTGTGCTGCTTGCTCCCTTGGTTCTAGTAGTAGCCCCTGCTGCTACTATTCCTCAGCTGTTGCTTCTCACTGTCTCTTGTTGTCTCTGGTGATACAGTTCTCTGTTTACTGGACCTAGATGGTTCTCAGCACAAGGAGCCTGTGTTCAAAGGATATGGTCCACTCCTGTCTCGTCTTCTGGGTGGTAGTCAGGCCTCCCCTTTCTGTCTCTGGTATGGCTTGTTTTAAGCCTAGAAGGATGCGAAACTGACCAGTCCCCTTGTTGTTGTTAATTGCCACTGAGTCAACTTCGAATCACAGCAATCCTGTATAAGGTTTCCGAGGAGCAGCTGGTGGGTTTGAGCTGCTGACCTCGTGGTCCAGATCCTGCAGCGCCACACCCAAATTCCATCCCTCATTAGGGTTCTTTATATACCTTAGTTGTATAGTCCCACCTAGTCCCCTCCCTAGAGGGGAGTCTCAAAGACTATGGAGTCCTGGTATGGCTCCATAGTTCTGTAGAATAAACAATGGACTGCTAACCACAGGGTTGGTGGATCAAACCCACAAGCTGCTCCTCAGAAACCCTAAACAGGATGGCCATGAGTCGGCACCAATTCTATGGCACTTAACAACAAAGACTATAATTAGAAGAGCACATTAAGTAATTCACTGCACTGCAATATTCACTAATGAAACCTGAACACTTGTCCCTAAGATCAAGAAGACAAAGATGCCCATTCTCACCACTGCTGTTCTACATTATACTGGAAGCCCTGGTTAGAGCAATTGGGCAGGACAAAGACATAAAAGGCATCCAAATTACAAAGGAAGAGATAGAACTATCCCTACTTACACTGGCATTGATCATAAGTCTAGAAAACCCTAAAAAATGCCCCCCAAACTGTTAGAGCTAGTAAGTAAATTCAGTGGAGTTACAGGAAACAAAGTCAACACACAAAAATCCCTTGTATTCTCACGTTACAACAGGAATAAACCTTGAAAACTTTATGCTGAGTAAAATAAGTCAGCCACAAAAGGACAAATATAATTGTGATCCCACTTGTGTGAAGTGTCTAGACTAGGCAGATGCATAGAGACACACAGGGTGCTAGTGGTTACCAGGATCTGGGAATGGGGATACTGAGTTTGGGATGAAGGAAGTCTTTTGAAAATATATAATGGTGGTGGATTCACAACATGGTGAATATAATTAATATCACAGAGTTGTAACTTAAAAATTATAAAATGGCCAACTTTTTGTGATATATGTTCATGCAAGTACCTGCGTGAATTTCCTGGGGAAAGGGGTCCAAGAATGGACTATTGAGGAAGGTTCTCTGGTGGCTGGAACAAGAGGGAGATGGAGATTTGATGCTGTTCTCTTTTAAATCATTTGAAAATTGTCTATGTCCCTGTTTACAATAATTTTTTTAATGTTAGGAAAATAAAAACAGGACACTGATGAGGTTTTTTTCCTGAAAGGTTTTAAGAGGAAGGACCAGGCTCCTTCCTGGGAGTAGGACTTAAGGATATAGTCCCTCCCCTCCCAGCCCCCTAATGTATGTGGATGTGGGTGGAGTGGGCTTGAGGTGGAGCCCTGACCCCCTTCTCTGGCCTCTTCACCTTCATGCCTCTGTCCCTCTCCCTCTGTGTCCCTTCCCACTCCCTAGCATACCTCCCTTTCCTCAGGACCCCAAAGACATGCCCATCCAAGGTCAGAAGGACTGTACCTCTCAGCAGAGTGTGTTCCTGGGTCCAGTTCGACCCTGCCCCTTAACCTGACCCAGAATCTTTCTCACTGTCTTTTCTCTGGTTCTTTCCTCCTCTGGCTGTCTCTCCGGCTCCTTCTCCCTGTCTCCATGCCCTTTGACTGACCAACTCCCACTGATAGAACTTGGTAAGTGAGCCTCCAAAGGGCAGGGCAGGGGCTGGGGAGGAGTCCTGGGCACTGGAGGGAGGGGGCTTCTCAGAGGGTGGGGCTTTGGCCATCAGTGTCCCTTTGTGTGTCTCATTGGTCCCTTCTGTCTGACCAGGTCATAAAAGCGTTGTACCCCACAATCTGCAGGGGAGCCCCTCTGCACTGGGGGCTCTCAAGAACCCATTGCTTGCTTGGACCCCAGGGTTGGCAGGTGGGACTAAAGGACGCTCTGTTCCCACTTGCTGTCTTTAGAGCCTCTGAGCCCTGAAAAAAAAGCTAATGACAGAAAAGGCCCCTGTGTTGCCAATTTAGAAAATGGAAAAAACACATTCATTCAACAAATGTGTCTGAGTGTCTGTAGTCCAGCCCCTGGGGGTGAAGAGCCAGGTCACAGGCTTGGTTAAGAATGTCATTTTCTGCACAGAACTCCCTGCCCTGAATCAGGTGGGAACTGAAAATGTGCAAGGACCACCCCCACTTTAACAGGGACCAGGGCTGGTTCTAAAAGGGAATCCTCAACACTCCCTGGACAGCCAAGAAGAGAGGGTTCAGCAGGAAAGGACCCCTGCTCCCAGAGGGGCTCAGGCTTGGGTCCCCAGGGCTGAATGAGAAGGATGTGCCCAGGCATCACTGTCAGCCTAGTGGGCATCGGGACCCAATTGGGCCCCTGCAGCAGATCCAAGAATGGTTGGCTACAAGCCATAGGCCGCCCACCCTGCAGGGCCAAGGGAGTCACTTGAGAGTCATTTTCCCCAGGCAAGCAGGCAGGAAGAGAAAGTTGAGCCACTTTCCAAGCAGGGACTTGGGTCCGTGGAGACATCACGCTTTGTATGAGGATGCCTCAGGCAGCACCCCTGAGGCTCTGGGAGCCTGGCCCAGGACTTGATCAATGTGACCAGAAAGTCCCAGCCTCCTAGCCGGTGGGGTTGGGGTCCCGGCATATAAGAGAAGCGTGGTGGCTGTGGCAGCTCCATGCTTACTCTCTGCCCAGTGTCCTCCACATCACCACACTGACCACAGCATGGGGGCACGGGGGCTGACGTGGCCACTCAGTCTTCTGGGTGTAAGCAAACCGACTGTCCTCCCCGGCGAGCATGTTCCAGAGAGGAGTGGGGAGCTGGATGCTGCTTCATCCATGAAGTCCCCCCATCCCAGCCACTCGTGCCCACCCCATTTTGTTTCTTCCCTCCTCACCTAACTTGGATCTTCCATCTCCCACTGAGTCTTGTGGCTGGCAGACCCTTACGCCATTGGGGTTACTAGTGCAGAGGAAAGAAACAGGTGGAAGATGGGTCAAACCTCTTGGAAGAGATATTGCAGGCATCCAGGGGGTGATGTAAGGAGAAGGAACTGGAAGAGGCATGTTGAGCATCTAGGCCTGGGACGAGGCAGGTCCGGAAGCCAGACCAGGACCACTGGGGGATGGGGACAGACAAGCCCTGCTCTCCTTCTCAAACCCACTCTACCAGCAGCACCACCAAAACAGCTCCCAGCCCCCCTCTGGAACCCTCAGCTCCGTTCCCACTCTGGCCCTGGCCCTCCTGACTGACTTATCTTTCACTCTTGTTCCAGGGCCTAAACAGCATGTTTGAGGTGTACCTGGTGGGGAACAACTCCCATCACTTCATTATCTCCCCCACATCCGTCCAAGGGAAAGCTGACATCCGCATACGGGTAGCCATCCCGCTGGACTATGAGACCGTGGACCGCTATGACTTCGATGTAAGCCTTACTCCCCATCTTCTTGGGCCAGATGGGCAGATTTCAGGGAAAGCAAGAGATAATTCATTCCTCTGCCACCATCTCTGCCGCCTTTCCCTTGTGTGACTGCACAGAGAAGCCCACTGAGAGGCAGAGACTGGGTGGGGTCTCCCCTTTTTGGGGACAGGGAAATTCCCAGGAGTTGATTGGCACTTTCCCAGGTACCACATCGGGGTCCTCTAATGCCCATCTCCTGCCAGCCCAGCCCCGTCTGCCATCCCTCCCCATAGAATCAGTGGCCCTGTGGAGCAATCAACAGAGGAACTTGAAGTAGCATCCATCTGGGATGGGCAGTGACTGGTCCAGGTGCTCTGTGGCTGGGGCAAGCAGATCTCAAGGAGGACTTTGCAGGGTGAGGGCTCTGGGAGCATGTGGGGGCTCACCCAGCCTCCTGTTCTCTGTACCCAGCTCTTTGCCAATGAGAGTGTGCCTGACCACGTGGGCTATGCCAAAGTGAAGATCACCCTCGTCAATGAGAACGACAACCGGCCCATCTTCAGCCAGCCTCTGTACAACGTCAGCCTGTACGAGAATGTCACTGTGGGAACCTCAGTGCTGACAGTCCTGGTGAGTCCCCACCCTTCTCCAGGTCACTGAGCACTCAGGGCTCACCGGGCATCAAGATTTACCTCCAAGAAATTTGGGCAATCAGAAAGGGAAGCCCCCCAAGCAGTGTTGTTGATAATCAGCATCTGGTACCCGTGTCCAGGGCAGCTAGGTGGGAAAGGAGCCAACTTGGTAACAAATAGATTGTCTGCGGCTACTTTGGTTTTCTGTCTTTTCCCTGATGGGACCAGGAGTCCTGGAAGTCCTGGTCTAATGGGTGAAACAGATTCCAGCCACCCTTGAGCGGTGGCCCTTCAAGGGAAAAATGGGTTCCTTGATGCTTCCTGGGCATCCCCAGCTGCATGTTCCTTTTGACCAGGGACTCTTTCCAGTGTCCATTTGTATCATCAGTCTTCTTGATTGCAAAGGATAGAAACCTTCAAGTGGTTCAAGTCAAAAAAAAGTATTGACTCATGCAACTCAAAGGAGCCCTGGTAGCGTAGTGGGTTACACATTAGGCTGCTAACCACAAGATCAGCAGTTCAAATCCACCAGTCGCTCCATGGGAGAAAGCTGAAGCTTTCTGCTCCTGTAAAGATTTAAAGCCTCAGAAACCCTGTTCAGGGTCATGCAGCAGCCACAGCGTTCAGCTACCGAGCTAAGCAGAGATTTCAGGCATGGTTGCATCTAGGTTCTGTGCTCAGTTGGGCAGGACTCTAACTTCAGCACTGGATCCTGCTTTTCTGTGTTGGCAAAGAGGGACACCCACACCTCTAGGCTTTGTTGTTAAGTACTGTCAAGTAGGTTCTGACTCATAGTGACCCTGTATAGAGTTTCTAAGAAGCGGCTGGTGGGTTTGAACTGCCAACCTTATGGTTGTAGTCCAGTGCTTATGTTCAGCGCCACACCAGGATGTCTAACGAATTCATCAATTCTAGTGGGCAATTTTTTTTTTCATATTTCCAGCAAAAGTTGGAATTTCCAAATAGGACTGTCAGAATAGGCACATTCATAGAGACAGAAGTAGACTTGTGGTTACCAGGGGCTGAAGGGGAGGGGAATGAGGAGTTACTGCTTAAGGGGTAGAGTTCCTGTCTGGAGTGATGAAAATGTTTTCAAAAGAGAGTGATGATGATTATATACAAACTGAATATAATGAAGGATACCGACTCGATGGCACACAACAACAACAACAACTGATAGCGAAGTGCATTATAAGATAGGCTGCTAACCGAAAGGTCAGTAGTTCGAATCTACCAGTCACTCCATGGGAGAAAGAAGAGGCTTTCTTCTCCTGTAAAGATTTACAGCCTTAAAAACCCTTTCCAGGGTTGCTATGAGTCGGCATCAAGTCAGCAACATACAACCACCATCAATCACTGATGCATCGAAAAATGGTTCGAGTTGTGTTCTGTATGTTTTACCACAATGAAACAAAAAGTTCCAGAGCTGATTCTCATTGGCACCATGTGTTGGACCACCCTGGAGCCCCTGCTAAGCCAGGCATAGATCACACTCTCTCTAGAGGAGTCAGTGCTTGGGGTCAGCCCATCAGATGACATGGGCTGAATATGGGGGACAAGGCTTCCCCAAAAAGGTTTCTGTTCCCAAGAAGAAAGGTATAGGGTGGTCAAAGTGGTACATGTCATTATACAAGCACACAATCTTACCCATATTTCTTGTTATTAAGTACCATCAAGTTGGTTCCAACTTATAGCAACCCTTGTGTAGAGTTTCCAAGGATCGGCTAGTGAATTTGAACTGCCAACTTTGTGGTGAGCAGTCCAGTGCTTATCTTACAGTCTGCCCATAGTTGTTGTTAAGTGCCATCAAGTTGGTTCTGACTCATAGCGACCCTGTATAGGGTTTCTAAGGAGAAGCTGGTGAATTTGAACAGGTTCAAACCTACCTTGCAGTCTAGTGCTTTACTCCCACCGTGCCACAACACCACACCAGAACTGCCCATAGTAGTGGTGTGCTGAGTCAGTTCCAACTCATAATGAGTCTGCATAGGATTTCCAAGGCTGTAAATCTTTATGGGAGCAGAGAGCCTCATCTTTTTCCCGCGGAATCGCTAGTAGTTTCGAACTGCTGACCTTGAGGTTAGCAGTCCAGCTCATAACTACTACACTACCAGAGCTCCTTATTAGGGGCTCAAAATGTGATGGTGTTTAATTCACTGCTGCCCCCTACCTGCCCACTGTGAGTTCCTGGATACCAGAGTCCTCTCTCCCATTTCTTGCTGCATCCCCACTCTAGGCAAAGACATTGCCTGTATATGCCAGGCCCCCTGCTCCGAAATGTGTTTACTTTACAGACAGATGGTATGAAACTGTATTGAGCCCCTAGGCCCTTCCCATCTGACAGTTATTAATATTTCAAACAGATGTTTAACTAGTCAGGCCATCAGACGTAAACAATAAGTCTGCTTCTGCTGCTGTTTCTGTCACCCCCTGCTTCCCCCATCCCTGGCTCCATCAGCCTTCACCAAGGTGCTCCATGCAATAAATCTCCTGGTGCTTGAGGCTCCCTGGACCCTCTTCCAGCCTCCTGAGCCCAGCTGGACAGCAAGAGCCAGAGGCTCCAGCCTTCTGGACCCAAAGAGAGCATCTTCAGCCCCCTCCACCTTTGAATATCAGGGCAAAGAACACTCAGGCAGCCTGTGTTTCAGGGATCTCACAAGGGGAGCAGACCCATCCCCCGCAGGCCAAGAGCTCAGATGTCAGGATCAAGCTAGGTGGGTGTCAGGGATTCATTTCCAGCACTCTTGCTGAAGATGAAAATTCTCACTGTGCAGACCCAAGTCCCCACGTCCCTGAGCAGGAGTGAACTATACAGTGTGGATAGGGGCAGTTGTCAAGGTGATAAGACCAGTGGGTCAAGCCTGATCCAGTCCCGGCTGGCAGTGAGAGTAGGTACTGGTGAATGTAAGCCAAGACCCTCAGTGTCTGTGGGAGTTGGTGCAGGTCCTTGGTCAGCTGTGGACTCACCTGACCCTTCTCCAGTGCCTCACCCAATTCCTTCTCAATCCCCTGCCCCCTCAATTCCAGAGCTTGTGGACTAGTGTCACCCTTAGGTACTGAGCTGCTGGAAACTGCTGGTCCCAAAAAGGGGAAGGGATGGTCACACCAATGTGGACCTAAATGTAAACCCCAGGAAAGGGTGGCAAAAGGCCCTGGGAGCCAAGGCCTGGGTCTGTGTCCTTGGGTGTCCATATCTCCACCCTCTAGCACCTGATCGTTGGCCCCTGAGTTCTAATCTTGGGTCTGCCACTAATCTACTATGGCTCCCTGGGTTTCAGATTTTCCATCTGTGAAATGAGAGAGTTGGGCCAGGCCAGGGAGGTGCATATTAGAATCACCTGGAGAAGCTTCTAAAAATCGCAACTTGCAGGCATCACCCACCAATGATTTGTATTTATTAAATCTGGATGGTATAGGTCCAGGCATCAAGAATTTTTAAAAGGATGCCTCAGGTGACTCCAAGAGTGAAACCCCAGTGCCCGGAACTCGGAAGTTTGGCAAGGACACACTGGCTTCAGGGCCGGCTGGGGAAGATTAGCCTGCACCCATGCTCCAAGGAGGACTCGAGGCAGTCCAGCCACAGTTGCCGGAAGCCAATAAGGAGGCGGCATTTCCATGGGGAGCAGCTCCTGGGTCCACCCCCAGGGAGGGATCCAACCAGGGTCCAGATTACCGGTAACCAAGCCAGTTGCCACCAAGTGATTCTGACTCGCAGCAACCTCATGTTCAAGTGTTGTCAAGGCTGTCCTAGTGTGGTGCTGTAGGATAAGGACTGGACCACAGAGTCAGTTTGAACTACAAGGTCAGCAGTTCAAATCCACCAGCTGCTCCTCAGGAACCCTTTACAGGGTCACTATGACTTGGAACCGACTCAGTGGCACTAAGCAACAATAGCGGTAACTTATTACAAGTAGCTCGCCAGACCTTTCTTCTAAGGGGCCTCTGGATAGGTTCAAACCACCAACCTTTTGGTTAGCACTCTGTCAGTAGGGACTCCTAGCTGCTGTTTACTGAGAATGGACCATTACAGATATAAAGTAGTGAGTTGCTAGACACAAGATCGGCAGTTCAAACCCACCAGCTGCTTCTTAGAAACCCCATACAGGGTCGCTGTGTGTTGGAACTGACTCGACGGCACTGAACAATATGATAGTAGACTGCTTGTCTGAAGCTGGATTGAGGGGACTAGAGTGTGCCCTTGGAACCTTCCATCAACCTTTGGCACAGGCACTATTTGAAGACCATTAATACACACACACACACCTCTACCATTTCATGAATGGGGAGGCTGAGACCCCAGGGAGGAGAAATGACTTCTCTGATATCCTGTTAGGAGCTGATGGCAGGCCCAAGTCTAGAGCCCGGTCTTGAGGTGGCCAGTCCACTTGGCACTGCTTGCATTTGGCATGTGGGGCAGACACACACTTTTCCCCACACCCTGTAGAGGTGGGACGTGTGAGTGGAAGCCAGGCCCGTGACATACAGTGGAGATATAAGCTTATAAAACTTAGAGCCTGCACGAGATGCACCAGGCAGGAAACATAATGGATTCCAAAATGTTTTTCATGTTTAGATGTCACAATGTTCCCCAAATGACCTTCAGAGAAGCTGGGATGAGCTGAAACTTTTTAAAGTCAGGGAGGGGAACCAGGTCTCCTTCTGTCTACCACTTTCATTCGCACATAATGACAACCTGCTGTCAGTGTGCAGGGATCCTAGGGTTTACCCACACTGCTCGTTCCTGCAAAGATTTTAGGTGGCATGTGGCAAGCACTGTTCCTTTGTTTTTAATGTGGTAAGTATATATGAAGGCAGTCCCTGGATTCCAAACAAGTTCCATTCCTCAATCTGTCCTTAGGTCAAATTTGTACTCCAGTCAGAACTGTTAGTGTGGTTCATATCTAATGTCAGTTGCTCAAATGTTCTTCTTACTATGTAATAGATACTGTATCTATCTATACATTAAAAGAAGGAGCTCTGGTAGCATAATGGTTACGA